CTCCATGTAGGCCGCCGCCATCTTATCGCTAACGACCAATCAACTTCCGCGCAGACCGCCGCCATCTTCTTGTTAGTGACCTATCACCTGCCCCCGTGCCACCATGACACTTCTTGCAGCTCGATGGCCATGTTACGTCACTTCCATGCCGCCATGACACTTCTTGCAGCTTGATGGCCATGTGACGTCACTTCCATGCCGTCATGACACTTCTTGTTAGCGACCTATCACCTGCCCTCAGCCTCCTCAGGTAGCCACCCCCGTACCGCCATGACACTTCTTGTTAGCGACCTATCACCTGCCCTCAGCCTCCTCAAATAGCCACCCCCGTACCGCCATGACACTTCTTGCATGCCAACACCCACGCATCTCTTGCACAACGACAATGCCCACAAGAAGTCGCTGAAGGAGCGCGCCGAACTCGATAGACACTGGCCATGTGACGTCATTTCCGCTGCAGAAACGGCCTCACTTATCTACTGGCGGTAAGTTCAAATTTCTAGATTTAAACGTTTGCGTAATAGAGATCGGAGTGAGGGAGAGAGGTGGGCTGCAATTGACGGTAAATTTAAAGTTGGTTTCGAATTTTATTTGAATTAATAAAGTCTTGCTCTGTCTGAGATTCGAACCCCGAACCTTTGGATTCCAAAGCGAGCCCGTTACCTCTAGACCACCATAGTAGCATTTAACAACAGGAATAATGTGGTTGATATATTGATGCAAAATAATATTTCAGCCATTAGTATAAAATTTACGGTTGGGTAGCGCTTAAAATCTGAGGATAAAAAATTTAATTACTAGAAGAATTCCATGCTATTTAGGAAATGAGTTAATATGAACAAAAATAAAATATGTTCAATACATGCGCAGAACATAGTTGTAATTAGTGCCTTATTGGTGGTAAATTTAAATAGAGATCGGAGTGAAGGAGGGAGAGGACAGAATTTTATTTAAATTAAAGAAGTCTTGTTCTGTCTGAGATTCGAACCCCGAACCTTTGGATTCCAAAGCGAGCCCGTTACCTCTAGATCACCATAGTATCATTTAACAACAGGAATACTGTAGTTGATATATTGATGACAAAAATACTTCAGCTATTAGTGTAAAATTTCATAATCTTAAGATGAGAAAGTCAAACATAGCTCCGTTTAGGTCTCTTAAACGAAAAAACATGCGCATTAGCACATTATATTTCGCTAACGGTTTGAAATAAATAGCTGTGTCACTAAAATTGGGTTAAAATATTTACGAAACATCAATTTTTTTACAAAAGTTTAACACGAAAACGAAGCATTGTCTTAAAATCACTGTCTGTTAAATTTATTGTACATACTTAATTAACACCCTATATAAAATTATCTATTTAATTACTAGAAGAATTCTATGCTATTTAGGAAATGGGTTTAATAGAAACCGTTGTTATTATTATCTTAATAATGTCGTGTCATCTGTATATATATCTTAAGTTCGTATTAAAGCCAATGTGACCAACGATAACTACTTATTCTTTTAAATAGCAAATTATATTGAAAAAAGTTCAGCCTAGGTCTGAGAGAGAACATATTAAGGAACAAAAAAACAGATATAAAAACCTTTTAAAATCTAAGAGTTGTCATGTCACTTCTTTAAGAACATCCTGTAGACTGCTGCTGCTGCTGCTTCTGAAGTGACCTGAAGAATGTAGGTACCTAGAGGAGAGGAATGGAATGAGAAAGAAAATCTCTGTGTACATCGTTTAAGACTGCTTCTTAAAGCTGTTAAAAATTCAGACTCAATAGGTACTAGTTTAATATTAGAACGAGAGAGAGATAACAAATGGTATTGTTACCTTTATACATGTGTCATCACAAAGCACGACAACAGCCGGCGTTCATTCGTCAGAAATTGAGAGGGTATATGAAACAAATATCAAAAATTCAAACACAGCTCCGTTCAGGTCTCTTGAACGAAAAAACATGCGCATTAGCACAAGATATCTTATATTTCGCTAACGGTTTGAAATAAATAGCTGTGTCACTGACGTAAAAGCATCAGCCACGTATCCAGGCGACAGACATGCGCATGATGTATGTATGTATGTATGTATGTATGTCGGAGGGTGGTGGAATTGTCTTCCACCGGCACTTATGCCTTTTTAGGCCCCTTGCACACCCTCCTTCATTACTCGAGTACTTTTCTTCAAACCATTTTACTTACTACACGGATGGCCTGGTGGCAAAGTCTCGTACAGTTAATGTATGATAGCATGGTCTTGAGTTACAGAGATTTCTTGCTCTGTTTTCATTACCATTTATCGGGGACCACACGCGTGCGGCAAATGTTGGGCGACCCAGGTCTCTTGGTAGGCTGCCACAGCCACGTCCCCGAGCCTGCCTTAGGTCACCCATCCAAATTCCGGCCCACGTCCGTGATGCTTGACTCGGCAGATCGAAATCCGCCGGCCAAGACACCCGGCTAGGCGGTCCCCCAGACATGCGCATATTTGTACATCTACCGGATGTTTTTCTTTAAATAATGTGTAAAGACCATTACATATATTTTTTTTATAAAAATACACTATAAATATGGAGAAGAAATGCCGTCGGACGGAATATCAGTTATAATGTAAAAAGTGGTTATTATATTTGTTGCATAAATTGTTAGGTAAAGGGTGAGATGTGGAATATTTTTTCAATGCTGATTTTTTCTCTTAATCATGATATAAGTAAAACCTTAAGATCACTATGCTTTAGACTAAAATTGAAGCAAAAATAATAATAATTCCAGATATTTAGTTTTTATTTCAACTTCAGATCTACATCTATGTCGTATGAGTAAAATGCCAAAATAGTACAAGTTAAATTACTAATTTAATTAATGATGCAGTTATGAAGGATTTCGATTATTTTTCAAAAAGATAGAGAGATATAGAGAAAAAGACTGTAGGAAAAGATAAAGTTATTGTACGCTTTTTATATAAACATTATTTTGAACGAAAATAATTCATTTACAAAAGATTTGTCGTTTTACTACAAATTGATGGTTTTGTAAATGTCGAAATGTTTATTATGTTGTATATGTTACGTTGAGAATATTAATTTCAAGTAATTTAATGATAATATACTATACATATATTATCGTTAACAATTAAAGTTCCTTAGTAAAAGTGTTTATCTAGTTTAATACTACTAGATTTATCCTAGATTAAACATTTAAAGAATACATATATTTATACAGGTAACAAAAATATTTATACAGGTAACCAAAATGCTTGTCCAAACTTGAATAACAGATTCTATTTCACAAATACCTGGTGCAAAATGACATTCGAGCTGAACTTGGTAAATATAAAGATCACATTATGAACTGAGATCACGTGAGCAACCATTGAGATTGATGTTTAGAATATGGACAAAAATAAAAAATATGTTTATTGCATGCGCAGAACATTAGTGCCTTAGTTTCTTCAAAATCGCAATGTTAGCATAAATCATGATAAGGGAGGTCAATGAACTCCAAACAGCAACAGCATTACATTACATACGGTATTGCATTATTCGATTTAGGTTCGATCAGCACCGCATTGAAATTGATGGGAGATTTAAAATATATGTAATATTAAAAAAATGGTTGCATAGTAGATCTCGGGATGATGATGATGATGGTGATGGTGATGGTGATGGTGATGGTGATGGTGATGGTGATGGTGATGGTGGTGGTGATGGTGATGGTGATGGTGATGGTGATGGTGATGGTGAAGGTGATGGTGAAGGTGATGGTGAAGGTGATGGTGAAGGTGATGGTGAAGGTGATGGTGAAGGTGATGGTGAAGGTGATGGTGATGGTGATGGTGATGGTGATGGTGATGGTGATGGTGATGGTGATGGTGATGGTGATGGTGATGGTGATGGTGATGGTGATGGTGATGGTGATGGTGATGGTGATGGTGATGGTGATGGTGATGGTGATGGTGATGGTGATGGTGATGGTGATGGTGATGGTGATGGTGATGGTGATGGTGATGGTGATGGTGATGGTGATGGTGATGGTGATGGTGATGGTGATGGTGATGGTGATGGTGATGGTGATGGTGATGGTGATGGTGATGGTGATGGTGATGGTGATGGTGATGGTGATGGTGATGGTGATGGTGATGGTGATGGTGATGGTGATGGTGATGGTGATGGTGATGGTGATGGTGATGGTGATGGTGATGGTGATGGTGATGGTGATGGTGATGGTGATGGTGATGGTGATGGTGATGGTGATGGTGATGGTGATGGTGATGGTGATGGTGATGGTGATGGTGATGGTGATGGTGATGGTGATGGTGATGGTGATGGTGATGGTGATGGTGATGGTGATGGTGATGGTGATGGTGATGGTGATGGTGATGGTGATGGTGATGGTGATGGTGATGGTGATGGTGATGGTGATGGTGATGGTGATGGTGATGGTGATGGTGATGGTGATGGTGATGGTGATGGTGATGGTGATGGTGATGGTGATGGTGATGGTGATGGTGATGGTGATGGTGATGGTGATGGTGATGGTGATGGTGATGGTGATGGTGATGGTGATGGTGATGGTGATGGTGATGGTGATGGTGATGGTGATGGTGATGGTGATGGTGATGGTGATGGTGATGGTGATGGTGATGGTGATGGTGATGGTGATGGTGATGGTGATGGTGATGGTGATGGTGATGGTGATGGTGATGGTGATGGTGATGGTGATGGTGATGGTGATGGTGATGGTGATGGTGATGGTGATGGTGATGGTGATGGTGATGGTGATGGTGATGGTGATGGTGATGGTGATGGTGATGGTGATGGTGATGGTGATGGTGATGGTGATGGTGATGGTGATGGTGATGGTGATGGTGATGGTGATGGTGATGGTGATGGTGATGGTGATGGTGATGGTGATGGTGATGGTGATGGTGATGGTGATGGTGATGGTGATGGTGATGGTGATGGTGATGGTGATGGTGATGGTGATGGTGATGGTGATGGTGATGGTGATGGTGATGGTGATGGTGATGGTGATGGTGATGGTGATGGTGATGGTGATGGTGATGGTGATGGTGATGGTGATGGTGATGGTGATGGTGATGGTGATGGTGATGGTGATGGTGATGGTGATGGTGATGGTGATGGTGATGGTGATGGTGATGGTGATGGTGATGGTGATGGTGATGGTGATGGTGATGGTGATGGTGATGGTGATGGTGATGGTGATGGTGATGGTGATGGTGATGGTGATGGTGATGGTGATGGTGATGGTGATGGTGATGGTGATGGTGATGGTGATGGTGATGGTGATGGTGATGGTGATGGTGATGGTGATGGTGATGGTGATGGTGATGGTGATGGTGATGGTGATGGTGATGGTGATGGTGATGGTGATGGTGATGGTGATGGTGATGGTGATGGTGATGGTGATGGTGATGGTGATGGTGATGGTGATGGTGATGGTGATGGTGATGGTGATGGTGATGGTGATGGTGATGGTGATGGTGATGGTGATGGTGATGGTGATGGTGATGGTGATGGTGATGGTGATGGTGATGGTGATGGTGATGGTGATGGTGATGGTGATGGTGATGGTGATGGTGATGGTGATGGTGATGGTGATGGTGATGGTGATGGTGATGGTGATGGTGATGGTGATGGTGATGGTGATGGTGATGGTGATGGTGATGGTGATGGTGATGGTGATGGTGATGGTGATGGTGATGGTGATGGTGATGGTGATGGTGATGGTGATGGTGATGGTGATGGTGATGGTGATGGTGATGGTGATGGTGATGGTGATGGTGATGGTGATGGTGATGGTGATGGTGATGGTGATGGTGATGGTGATGGNAGTAGAGTTATTGAAGAAAATATAATATATTTTTTTTTAATTTGACATCCTGTATATCCTAAACGAAGCGTTTCCAGACCTAAGTTCATAGGAAACTTTTTGCTTAAAATTACGTAGAACAACATACTGAAGGATGTACATCTCCTCCTGAAACACCCTGTATACTTTGTTTACCTGTAAGAACGCTCATTAAGAATTTTTAAGAATATGTGGAATATGTTAAGAGAAGAGACAAGCAGTTGAATTTCTGAAAATATTGTTGCGTCAATCAAAAATTAAAAACAGAAGAACTTTCGAATCAAAGGTCTCCTCTTTTACGTTAGTAACCGTAATCGAAGATCGAATGAAAAGGAAGATATATCCCCACCTAATCCTGGTAATCGAT